AGTGCCGGGTGTGACCGAAACCCCCACGTCGTCGCTTTGTTACAGTGACAAGGCGTGGAATGGCGCTATCATCCGAAGGGTGGAAGAAGACAATCCCAAGATTCGGTACCGTAGCACTTGATCGTAGGCGAGGACCCCGTGCTGTCCGTTCCCCCGACCTCCATCCGACGACCACCTGAGGCAAACCCCGGCCGACCCTGTGAAGCACCTCGCCGTCGACAAGACAATAGCGTTTTGGAACAACAACCTGTCTCGACTTGGCCTCTCAACCCCGGCCTGATGCCCGCCAGATTCTCACCGAGGTAGACGAGGCCAATCTCGCTCCTTCACCTCTTTTTAGACAGTCCGGAAGGTGAAGTGGCGCGCTTTATCATTAGACTTGTAGGAATTTGGGAAACTTACCCCAAGTTTTGGCCGAGATCGATAAGGCTCTGGACCCGCGCCCGTCTGGGCATTCCCCTCCAGCCGGAGCTATAGCACATCACAGGGAATAGCCGTTTGGGCGATAGAGAGACAAAGGGAATTCTTCACTGCAACAACGTTCACCTCCCATGGCATATCCCCGAGCCAAAAAGTGTAGAAACAAGCAAAACAGGGCAGACGCTCACCGTCCGGCAGACCGTCTGACTCTGGAGGATGTCAGGATGTCTCGGAGCAAACCACAAGGAGACAGAGTCCAAGTGTACCTTGATGAGCAACCCCAGGCTGCGGCTAATGAAAGCGGCTGGCCTCCCCACAATCTGGGGCCCTCCACGCTTTACGCTTTGGGACTTGGGGCATGGAAGTCTTATCTCTATTGGCGCCACCGCTCGGGGCGCGCCTGTCTCTGGGGCCACGTCCCACGTCTTTCTGTTAGATTTACTGGTGTGATCTGGTTGATTGATTCTGTGTGTGTGACTGACTCGAGCGCTCTCCTCCAGAAGGTCTGGGGGTTCTGGGGTTAACCTGTATTTGCCAAGACCTATAAATCAGGTGGCTGGGACTCTGGTATATAACCTATATCTGGGTAGAATGCTACCCTGGAATCTAATACACCCCCTCACTTGCAGACTTTTAGTTACCTCTTTGAGGTTAAAAGTAAAGCTATTTATATATTGCTCTCGTCTTTTTATGTGTTTAATCTTAGTATTTTATCCAAATTATCGAAATTAACCTCCTTCGGTACCAGATTATCCTCTCCTCTGCTATCCTTCCATAGCGGTACTTTGGCTATACCTAGCAATTCCTTAGATCTTTTATACTCCAGAATCCCTAGTGCTTTCGTCAATCTATTTGCTAGTATTGATTTCGTTTCTAAATATTCGATATTAAGAGTCTTCTTCTTAAGGATCTCCTCCCTTAATTAATATCTATAGATATTTATATGCCTCATCTTTGTGTTGAAGGTAAGCGTTTCCTTTATAAGTACTTTAATAGTTTATTAATTATTATATCGTAGAGTAAGGATAAGGTCTTCTAATAGCTTTACTCTTAGAATTAAAATTAACCAGTTCATAAAGAGCATCTCTTTTATTACTTTTTTAATAGTATATAGGTTTGCCTCTATTATTAATATAGTAACCGTAATCTATTTAATTACTCCCTAATAAATTAGACCGCTATGGAATTTAATAATAAACTTTTATAAACTCTTATAATTATTTTTATTATTAGTAAACGAAATATTAAAAATAATTTCAAATTTACTATTGCTATTAAAATAGAGTACTTATATTTTCGTTATTCGAAAATATTATATAACCTTCTCGCTAACGGCTATATAAGTAACATTAGGATTGTAATTATATCGAACCAGTTTATTCGACGGGAAGGTGATATTTGGTCGTATATTAATGATTACGTATAGTAATAATCCTATATTAGTTTAGTAAGTTCGAATTTTTGTATGGCTGGCAATCCCCTCGTAAGGAACCAGTTTTTCGTGCCTTATAGGTACCAAAATTAATTAATAATTAGATTTAAATAATTTTGAAATATTATTGATATATACCTTTTAAAATAATTAAATCTATCCTTAATTTCGGTCTCGTATAATTTCGATACTTAAAAACTATTAGAATTTATCTCCTCTAATTAGGTCATACTTTAATTATAGTTTTGTTGTATATTTTTTGACTTCTTCTACTTTATTTTTATTAAATATATTGACGATATTATTAATATAATAGAATATAAGGATATTATTTTTCTTTATAATATAGGGGTCTTTAGGAATCGTTTCGAATCCTATCGATTTGAATGTTCCGCTAAGTTCTCGTTATTATAGTAAGGGTATTCGTCGGAGATTATATAGTACTTTAATTAATTTAAATACTTTACTAGGGATTTAATACCCGGGTAATATACGTATATAAATCTCCTTATTAAGGAACGTATTAACGAAAATATTAATTACGTCGTATTACTAACCTATAAAAAACTATCCGGATTAATATAACGAAAGTAAAGGAAACGAATGATTTTATTAAATATGTAAAGAGAGTTACTAGAATCGAATATTGCTAAATTCTTAAGAGGGTAAATCTCGTCCTTAATTTAATATACCCCGCTAATTTAAAAGGTCGCTCTATAATAAAATCTCGAATCGCAATAAATAATTACGCGTTCTCCTCCTTCTGAAGAGCCTTTTCCTTATTACTATTCTTAGCCGCGATTTTCGTAACCTCTTTAGTAAATTCGAAATCCTTTATAAAATTGGTTTTAATAATATATTAAATAGAAGGGAATAATTTCGTAATATATTTCAACTTTACACTTAAATTAACGTACTAATAATCCTCTCAAGAATACGGTCTTTTTTCGTATATTTTATATATAGAGATATTAAACTTTTTATATAGTTAAATTTCAGTCCTATCCAATTAGAGCTTTCTTTTTCCTTTAGAACCCTTATGTTTCTCATTATTCTTACCTTCTTAATAAATATCCTTATTATGAACAATCTTATCTTAGCCTTCGCTACTATATTTTTAATTATTATATTTAATACTAATTTTACTAATACTAAAGGTATTATAATATCTTCCCTTTCTAGTAATAACTTTACGTTTAGTAGTATCGATACTATATCTTCTAACATCCTTATAGACGTTTACATATTTAAATATACCGTTAGTTATTTCTTTATTAAATTCTAAACGCCTTTATATTATTTAGGACGTATAATTCTAATCGCATTAACGAAGTTAATATATTAGGAGTTGGTAATTTTAATCTCCCTTATTCTTATAGTTTATTTATTATTTATAGCGGTAAATTAAGTTTAAAATTAATTAATTTAATTCTTAGGTTCCTTCATTAAGATAGCGATAGCTTTATAATATTATTTTTTAATTTTAATTTATTTATCGACGGCTTTATAATTAATTATACTTTTAAAATTCTAGTATTATTCATTAATCTACTACTCCTCCTTTATAACGCCATTTTATAGTCCGTAACTAATTAACAATTTTATTTAAATATATACGGCCTTATCGCTAGCTACGAATTCTTTCTAATCCTTTTTATTATTAGAGTAGAGTGTAAATTCTAATTTAAAAAGTTACTTATTAATTAAGTCCTCTCCGTTAATAAAGGTATCGAATAGGATTTCGTTTTTAATACGATATTTAATAAGTACCTCCCAAAATTCAGTAATTTAATTAACGATAATACGGACAGTTATTCTATTATTAAGAAGGATAAACTCCGCTTTAACCTTGTTAATACAAGTTCTAACTATCTTCGTAATAAGATAATAGTTGGGATAAGGCTATTTTAGTATAGTAGGCTTTTCGATAGTATTTTAAAGCTAGTTTTTAAATATATCGAAGTTATACTTTAACTAGAGTATGGGCTTCCAGCGGATTTAATCATCGCTATCTTTTAAGTAGGTGACGTTCTCTTTAGTATTATTAATAGGCTTTAAGAGAGACATCGTATTATTCTCGTATTGTTTATTATTAACTCGTAGTGCCAATCGTTGTATTGATAAGGCGCGTATCAGATTATTAATTATTAAATTTATTAGTGTGATTTAGTTAATTAATTCTGTATATGTGACTGACTCGAGCGCTCTCCTCCAGAAGGTCAAGGGGTTCTGGGGTTAACCCATATTTGCCAAGACCTGTAAATTAGGTGGCTGGGACTCTGGCATCTAACCCATATCTGGGTAGAATGCTACCCTGGAATCTGACACTTTCCCTGTCTGCTCTCTTGTCTGTCTTCTGGGCGAGGGTCTCTGCCGGAGCATGATTTCACATTTCCGTCAGGTCGGTCGTTCTGTGGAGCGTCCTCCACCCCCAAAACATGGGGAACTGAACGAGACGCTCCACAGAGATAAGTCTGGCACCATGATGGTTTTGTGCTAGGTGGTCTCCCTTCCGAGCTCTCACAAGCAGATCCATCATGATCGAACCAGCCCCCACATGCAAAAAGCCTCAATATCTTCCTCGTATGGGCAAAGCGCCAAACTTTAAACTCAGCTTTATGTGCCAGGCGGGTTTGACGTGATTAGACTGGGCCGGGGCCCTTGAGATCTGCCGTGTAGCCGTGCCTACGGCGGATGAGGGGGAGACGGCCAAAAACTGGCGAGAACAGTGGTCCTCATGACGCGATTGTGTCTGTATCGGACGGTCTTGCAAGACAAGGGAGCCCAGACAGGCAGACACACAAAAGCACAAGGTCGTCCACCTCGTCGACGGCTACCGCCCAACACGTGTATGGTTCTCTCGAGAAGAAGAGGCTTTCTCGTCGTGACCGCAAAAGGAAGCCCTCAAGTGTCTGTCTCCCAAAAGTGGAACAGCTGTCTTGACCCGCATCCTGTTGTGCTCCCCTCAACACACTGGCGGGGAGTGACGAGCAGGTCGGGATTGTGATGTGTCGACTTTAATTTTTGACAATTCTGGTCGCCCAACCTGACGAGTCAGACTGACCAAATGAGTTTTCTTTGAAGTGGAAGCACAAGCAAAAACAGACGAGAAGCTGAATGTATTGACAGCTAGCTGGGACTTGATGACGCCCAACTCCCGTTCGATCATGAATCTCATCTCACGGCAATGTGAAAGCTCAGCCACCGTCCTCACCGCCCCCAAGCTCTCTCTCTGATCGGCCTGATTCGTAACGTCTCCTCCAGGCAGCTTACACAAAATGTCTTTTGGCATGATGCCGGCTTTGCCCCGGAGAGAAGCCTCGACGTATGCCGGGGGGCTTGACCCTTTTTATGCAACGTTAGAAGCCCTCCACGTCGCCATTCAGTCTGTCTTGAGCTTCCAGTTTCAGGCAGAGTCAAGAGGTTCCAAGCCATGCCCAGCCAGCCAGCGTGTCTTGCTTGCGTTGATCTATGGACAAAAAGGCAAAAGGGCCAAATAGAAGCGGCGCAACATCTTTTACCCCAGGATTGGCGCCAAGATGAAGCACCAAACTCCAAAACTATCTCGCAAATGCCCTTTGCCATTTTCACACCAACGCAAGCCTTATCATGGGGTCGGTGTCCGTTTTCCTGCTCGGATTTCCACTTCACCCCACCATTTTCTCCATACCCATCCAGAGATTCCCCCGCGGCCCCCCGGATCTGTTTATCAGCCGACCATGCCATCAGAGCATAATACAAAAAGAGCAGAAGTGATTGACAGCGCGTGTGGAGGAATGTCTGGCTGCGAGCTCGGCCTCGGCTGCACGCCATCCAAAGACTGAGACGACTGCCAGGTGTACCTGTACGGTCAGTACTTGTCTAGGCGTAATATCGTATAATTTTCCAACAACGAAGTCTGAACCCACAACGTCAACCCACGTACGAGTGGTCAGATAACACGACCCCATACCCAAAGCTTCCTAACCCTATAGTCCGTGTATTTACATACAAAATTAATCCGACCCACAAAAGAAAAAGGTTAACACAATTATTACAATACGTATTCGTACGGAGTCAATTCAATATATCAAATTAATAATAGTAATTCGAACAAAGTCTGATAATATATCTATAATATATTTAGAATATATTTTAAACCATAAACGAGGAAATTAAACTTTATAGGCTCATCCGGGTCGTATATACAAAAGTCCCCCCGTAGAGAAACAACCTCACTCGCTCGCCCAAAATTCCCCCGTAGAAAAATATAAAGTCCGATAATATATTTATAATATATTTAAGATATATTTTAAATTATAAAATAAAGAAGGAGTAAATTCCGTAAGCTTATCCGGATAGCAGCAGAATTCGTACTAAATAGTATAACTCTGGCCTTTACCGCCCTACTTAAGACAGTAAGGAAGAAGACCTATAATAAATCAATAATTAATAAAAGATTTATTAAAAATATATTTAAAGTGAAATTTATGAATACGCTTAAACTCTTTACATACCACGCAAATAAATTTAATAGAGGAAACAATATTATTACGCTTTTTATATATTCTTTTATTAATTAGGTATTAACTTAAATATTAATTAAATTAATTAAAAATAAATAAAGGATATATTAGGAATAGATCAATAATTTATTTAGAATATTTACATTACTATTCTTCTAAAAGGGGACTTCTATAAGACTGTCTTCCTCCGTATCCGCCTCCTCCTTACTCCTTTTCTCCTATACTTCTTACTATTCCTCCTCCTATACCTCCTACTACTCCTCCTTCTATACTTCCTCTTACTCCTCCTCCTACTCTTCCTCTTACTCCTCCTCCTATACTTCCTACTACTCCTCCTCCTACTCCTCCTTCTATTCTTCTTCTTATACCTCCTACTACTCCTCCTTCTCAATTAATAGTAAATCTAATAAATCCAATTCTTTATTAATAACCGCTACCTTACGTTTCTTAGGAATAACTGGCTATAAAGTCCTATTAAAGATAGGGACGGTTATGGCCTAACTAAAGGTTATAAAGGCTATAAAATCCTTATACTATCCTAAGTTTATCCGTAATTAATTTCAAATTATTTAAAAATTAATTAAGGATAAATTATATACTAATAATAACTATATAAACCTTAACCTTAATACCTCAGACTAAAACGTTAGGCAAATACTCTTTAAAAATATCGTAAACACCCTTTAAATATTTAATAAAATGGCTATAGATAGTAAATATAATCTAAATAAGTTAAAGATTAATTATTAATTTGATACTAATAATTTTCAAATATTATTTATATCGAAACTATATTAAATATCCGCGCTATTATAATCCGGCTCAAACTCTTTCCAATGGTAAAAAATCTTACTAGGGGCGACCATATATACGCCCTATAAAGTAATTAGCAAAGATAAATTAAAAATAAATTAAAGATAAATTAATAATCGGTTTTAATACTTATATATTTATTAATTTCTAAAGGGGGTACTACGGCCTAGCGCTTACCCTTATCTTCGGATTTAATAGGTTTCTAATCGCTATCTAAATATTCTTTATATATATTAAAAGATTATAAATTTACAATAAGCGGGTACTATTATAAAAATAAATCGTTAATAAATCTCTAATTAATTTTAATAGATTTCGGAAGAGCGGCGGGGGGTAAATAGGGGTAAATGAATAAATATTTAAATAGTTGAAGAAGGATTAGGGAAAAGAAATTTGAAAAAAAAAAAAGATTTTAATTAATATAACGATTATTCCTCTCCCTAAACTAATAAATACGAATACGTCATTATGCTATTTGCATCATACTATACGTATCTACTAAGAGGAGTAAAATATCGAATGAAATTTATAATATAAATTAATTTCGGATAAAACCGGGATAAATGTAATCTTATTCGCTCAACTACTTATGCTAGCTTTAATTTCTTAAAATAACATTATTTAAACTTTATATAGACTCGGTTAGCGATTATATTATAAGAATTAGTACTATAGTATAATTAGTATTTATACGGGTAATATTTTTAAAAGGCTATTAATTCGAATTATATATTATATTTTTTGTATTTAAAAATAAGATTATAAAACATATTATAAATTCAAATATACTAAAATACTACATATTAAAATAATAAATAGTAAAATAATTACCGGTAAATATTTATTTATGGAGAAAGTTCTAATATATAAGTTTTAAATTTAATATAATTCCTTATATAGAAATATTAAATACCTAGCCTCTATTTATATATACGAAATAAAAAAAATTACTTAATATAAAGCACGTATTACTAATGCATGAAAACTAACGGACGGGCAGGAATATAAGACCCGGTTATTATCTTATAGTATACGAACAAATATAAATAGAATTTAATATTAAATTCGAATATCGAACGAATTTATTAATAAATCGGTTAAATTATAATATAATAAGAATAGAATCCAACTATTATTTATAAAAGTAGGACGAAGCATTAATAAATTCCTCTTTTACGTTCTAATTTTAATTTTAAAACTAAATAGAAAGGAATAATTATATAGTACAGAATTCTATAGGTAAAATCGAATATAATTTAATGAAAAAGGTATTTATTTAATATTATAATTAAATATTAATAATTATTCTAACCCCGTTATCAAATTATGTATCCTTTATCGGATAAATTCGTAACCTAATTCTAATTATAGAAACTCTTATATATTCTCGCCTATTACGTCCGTTACTTTTTCTATAATACCTAATAATTTACTATATTTATTTTTAATTATCTTTTAAATACTTACTAACCTCTTATTAAATTTATAAAAACCCTTTTGAGTAATTACTGTCAAATCTTTAATCGCATTTATAATTCTATCGTCCCGCCGTTTTTCTAAAATAATTCTATCCCAAACGGCTTTATTTACTATTCTCCGTACTTATTAAAATATATTAATAAAAAAACTTTCGAAAACCTATATTCATATTAACGTATCGGCATAATTAATAACTATTTATATTACAAACTATATAATAATATAATAAATATTACAATTAACTAATTTAAATTCCAATATTAAATTATTAAACTAAGGTAAATTACTACATATAAATTAACCGTTTAAGAGGGATTTCTCTGTAGAAAAAGAAAGTAATTACCTTAATTTACTTTCGTTATTTACAAACCTATTTAAGTAGCCTTAAATTAATAAGTAAGCCCTTTTAATTAAGTTCGAAGTAGCCGAAGAAGCTTATTTTACTTTTAAAGAAGAGGCCCGTTTTGTTATTTAAATAAATAAAGAAAATATTTATTTTATTATTAAGGTAACCGAAGAAGATATTCGTTATCCTATTAAGGTAACCAAAAAAAAAATTCGTTTTATTGCTAAAGTAGCTAAAGAAAATGTTCGTTTTATTATTAAGGTAGTTAGGGAATAGTAAAATAATTTATAAATCTCAGCGAACTTTTTTATATATAATTAGGGCAATTCTATTAATTATACAAAGTTCTTCACGCTTACTACCCTTTTAATAAGGACTCTTTACGCGATTTTCTCTAAAACCGTTAAATTTAATATAAATAAGACGGAAACCCTAAAATTCGTAAAGAGGCGTTTTGACGTCATTATTTCGTTAAGGAAATATACTATATATAAGGGTGTTAGATATAAGGTATGTAGGACTAATAGCTCTTTATATAATATACTAAAATATTTCGGAATTGAAAAAAAATATATCTAAATATATAAGATATTTAGGAAAAAAATTTAATATAATACTTATAAGTTTAATATAGATAATTTAGTAGGCGCTAATACGCTACTTATTTAATTTAATTTGAAAAATTACGTTAAAGATAGGTATAAGACCTTTTTGAGCTATTAAGAAGGTTATAATAATAGTCCGGTTTAATAGGTAATATTAGTTTTTTTAGCCTTTATTTGCTCTTTTTTTTTATTATCTTGTTAGTCGGTTATAGATAATAATTGTAATTCTGATAAGGGTTATTCGTTCGGAGTTTTAATAATAGTATTAAATAAGGAATATATTTACTTACTTTTAATATTAAAGTTTCTATACTATTTTCGATATTAGTAGTAATAGCTTTTTATATTTATTTCTACGTAGGTAAGGCCTTTATAACTTCTTTTTCTACTTGCATTTTATATTATAATTTTATTTATATAATTAATAACTGAGGGTTATATATAATAGTTTTGACGCTATTTTATATTTTGTTATCGTATATTATATTGTTCATTCGATTTTATAATATTATTTACGGGTATTATAATTAGTAGTAAATCAGTTACGGTAATAATTAATATTAACGGAGCTTATTTTAATAGTACTCAATTTATTATTTTTCTATAGAGCAATAAACTTTGAATATTAGTTTAAATATTAGTAGTATTTTTAATCTCGTTTTTATTTTATTATATCTATATTTTAATTTGAATAAACTTTATTATATATTAATTATAGTATTATTATCGATTATTTTCCCCTAATCCTTCCAAATTAATACCCTACCTATCATTCTTCCATAGAGAAATAAATTCTTTATATTAGTAGTATTTTTTCGTTCTCATTTTATTATATTAGTAATTTAATTTATATAAGCCTTATTATATATTAATTGTAGTATTACTATTAATTATTATCCCTAATCTTCCTAGTACTTTATTTACCGTTTCTCTATAGAGAAATAAATTTTGCGTACTAATAGTACTTTTTTTATTCTTATTTTCCTTCATTATTTTAAAAATTTTATTTAAATAAACCTTATTTTATATCAATTATAATATTATTATTGATTATTTATAAGTAGTTTTTATTTTTAATAGAGGGTTCCGAAATAGATTTTTATTTTCGAAGTTGAATTTATATTTTATATTTTCAACGTAAAATAAGTTCCTTCGTCTTTATTTTATTTTATTTCATTAATTGTAGTTTTTATATAGGTTAATTATATTAATATATTTATTTTAATTTTTATAAGCTAATTAAATTGGATTCGTAAGCCCGGAATGTATTAGGTAATTGAGTAAACTATC